ACCCAATCTCCTTGGAAAAAGGAAAATTACGGTTTCTACCATCCCACCTCTTGTCTTGGCTCATCCAGTTCCTGCTCCAGATCTTCCAGGAGAGCCACAGCCTCCTCGGCACTCTCGGGGCAATGCCCCCGCACCCAGGTCTGGAGCTCCGGGGGCAGGATGCTCAGGAACTGCTCCAGCACCAGCAGCTCCAGGATCTGCTCCTTTGTGCGCAGCTCGGGCCTCAGCCACTCACAGCAGAGCACCCAGAGTTGGCTCAGGGCCTCCCGGGGCCCAGGCGTGTCATGGTACCCAAACTGCCGGAAGCGTTGGCGGAAGGTCTCCAGGTCTGGAAGGCACCTTTGTGGCTCCTCCTCTTCCTCAACGTTTACAATCATAGACCCAACTTGCTTCTGTGGAGGCCGGGGGCCCGGAACTGTAGCCATGCCCCGTACCTTGGTCATCACACCGACTAAGGACACAGACTGATGACAGATGGGACTCTGGGTATCACGGAGATTGGTCTCTAGTTTTCTGGTTCTTGAAGGCCACACGTTAAACCTAAGAAAACAGGGTTACCATAAAATTACCAAAGAGGAAAACCTGCCTAATAATCACAGTTTTAAAGCTCCTTCTGGAGTCCGTTGACTTGGATTTTACACCCCCACCACCCCTCTCTTAAAAAGCACAGCAAGGCATCATTGTAAATTATACTTAACTTTGCTCTGACATGAACATTCTTTCAGAATCTCACCTTAGTTCCCGAGGTCTGAACAAGCTACCTACTGCCCGATCGGTATCTTCAGCAGGGTCTCCTCTTCTGAACCCCAGTCTCATACCGCCACTCACCCATTTAATAACTATCCTCTGGATGCGCTGTAGACATCTCAAGGGTGTTATGTCTAAAATTCAAATTTCCCAACTATCCCCGAAGCTGGTCATCTCAGTTAATGGTAACTCCATCATTCTGCTTATTAGGACCAAGACACTTGGGAGTCCTCCTTGACTCTTTATTTCACTGTCTATGTTCAGTCCATTAGCAAGTCCTATCAGCTCCACCTTAAAAACACACGCAGCATTCAAGCACTTCTCAGTACCTCCAATACTCCCCCCCTCTAGTCCTTCATCCTTCCTGCATTCCACGCTGCCCCTTGTCTAGTCATGACCCAGTAGCACGGGGATCCTATGACAATATAAGCCAGATTGCCCCATTCCTAAGGCTTCATGTCTCACTCAAGAGTAAAAAGCAAATTCACAAGGGCTAAAAAAAATCCAGAAGGTCTCAGCCCTGTCAACTCTCGGATCTTAGCTTGTGCCGCCTGCCTCGTCCATGTTATTTCTTAACCTCCCACCTGAGTGCTGCTCCTCTGATTATTCACAACATCCTCTCTCACCTCCTCCAGGGTCTTTACTCTGACGTCACCTTCTTGGTCTGATTCCGCTTTGAAGACAGCTAGAGTTTCGCTTGTTAAAATACAAGTCCGCTCACAAACCTTCAAGCCAAGGCATCATGTCTCTCTCACAAGTAAAAGCCAAAGGCATTGCAATGGTCACCTGATTCTAGTTGAATGTCAGCTCTTGGGGGAAGGAACTTCCATCTCCCTTGTTCACTTCACTGCTATATTGCAAATAGCTACGAGCTGCCTAGCAGGAGCTCACATATCTGTGAAAGGAACGTGATAAAAGGATCCTAAAACTGGTATTACCCATACAAGTTTACATTTTGAAAAAGGACATAAAGAAGTCATTGGACATTGTAGAATACACAGTTAATTTAACTACATAAAGGGCTTTCCAAAAGTTCACGGATCGCCCCCGCGCAGGTGGACAGCCCTATCACAGGGATGAGGGGGATACTGGTGGGAAGGTCGAGTCAGGAGAGTTTCGGGAAAGGGAGGACGGCTGGGGGGGCGGGGGGCAGAGGTGCAGGACTGTTGGGAGGAGACGGGAGAGGACCAACCTCCAGGTGGGGGAAGAACGACTGAAAATGCTTCTGGGGTGCTGGAGTGGGAGTGTCCCTGGTGCTATGCACCGAAGGGGCCACATTGTCCGGGCTTCTGGGCACATCCTGGGAACCCAGTCCAGTGACCATGGAACACGGGCATGGAATCCTGGAGCTCCTGGGCGCACGGCATGCTCTAGAGGCTGCATCAGTGAGAGCCGATGCAGAAACTCCACCTCAGACACGCTTGTAACCCGAGGACGTCAGACTGAAATTCATGGTCTCTGAGGAAGCGGAAGGCAGCTGCACCAAACTGGTTGACCTGCCAATAGGCAGACCTCTTGGTCTTGCTACATCAATGCCCTCTGTGCTGTATTAAGATATACATTATTCCAGCAAACCTGTGACAGGCACTGTCAGTGAATATTATTGACAGTTTTCCCTGACAACCAACTCCCATTGTTTGTGTAAATAGTGTCCAGCCAGGAAAGGACTGATTCTGTACAAGTGAATAATTCAGGTATTGTGATATGGAATTACTCGAATTGGCCCAATATTCCTCTCTTAACAGGGCTTTAAAAAATTAGGACCAGGGGCTAATCAAAGACAATATTAAAGGACGATATTTATGCCACAGGGAGATGATCAATAAGACTCTCTACCATAAATTAAGAAGGAGGTTTTTAAAGGGAGCCAAAGGCAGATAAAAACAAAAACATAGATTCAGGAATGGGTTTTGGGCTCACAACTAAATCCTAGCTCCAATTTAAGAACAATTAATTCTTACATGTATACTTGCCTTCAGGAAGGGAACAGGGAAGATATGGGTGCTATAGCAAAGTGTGGCAAAGAAATCAGATGGTGTCTGGCTATCAGATAAAATAGCACCTGGGGTCTTCAAAGCTTGTTTCCAAATAAGAAGCCATCTAAGTGAGATGTCAACTAAGTCCACATGGAAGAAGCACGCTAACATCAGTCAACGAAGGGCTGTAAACCATATCATCTGAAGCCAAAGCAGGGAATGGTATCAGAGCCTCATTGTGAGGTTCTGGATTGCAGAAGGCTGTGGGTGGCAGTGGGAGCCCAAGATACATCTGTGAGATCCACACAGGAAATACGCCGCCAGTGATTTCCCTGTGTCCGTAAGAGAGGGGTGGGAAGAAACTGGTTCCCACACAGAGAGCAGGGGAGATGACGGTAGGAGATCAAAGTGATAAACCTGACTTGAACTATTACAATCTTGTCAGTTGATCCCCCTCTGATGCATGCTGGGCCTGATCTGGTTTTCAACATTTTCTGTATTTTCTATTTGTTCATATAGGGGTTTATCTCAGAGGTCATTGGGGGTGCCCCTTTTGAATTTTTGTTATATGTCTTTCAGTATATGAAACCCAGGATTGATGGACCTGTAGGGACAGCAAATAGAGTAAGAGTTTCTGGGTGGGCAGTGGGGTGGGGTATGGTGCGGGGAGTGGGGTAAAGGGGAGCTGATGCCAAGGAGTTCAAGAAGGAAAAGAATGTTTTGAAACTGATTGCAGTAGCAATTGCACAATACTGCTTGATGTGATTAAACTACGGAATGGTATGATATCTGTATTAGCTCCCAATAAAATGGTTTTGGGAAAAAAAAGTTCATGGAAAAATGCAATTTTAAGATAATGGCATTTCCTCACAACCTTTTTACCCCCTTCACATTTCCTAGCTTTGTCTGCCGAGAGGGGCTAGAGGGAAAGATACCTTATTACCAATGCACGACCAGCATCTAGCTCTTGATTTCTTAACACCATTCTTTAATGAAAACTTCCTGTCACTCAGTCCTCTGTGACTCATATGAACCCTCTAACACAGAGGAGGGCAGCCCCTTTGGTTTTCTGAAGCTGTAAATCTTTATGGGGGGCAGAAAGCCTCATCTTTCTCCCTCGGAGCAGCTAGTGGGTTAGAACTGCTGACCCTGTGGTTGACAGCCTGATACATAACTCAGTACAATTCAGAAGTGGCTGATTCTGGGCTTCAGGCAGGGTATACACAAAATAAGCATGGAGTATCTTGTAATGGCAAACAGTAAGAAAGTACTCAAAAAGTAAGAAAAGGCATGTCAGAGGGATACAGGTGCCAACCTATTTGTGGTAGTTATTTAATCTTATGTCAACTTCAGAGCAGTGAGAGTGAAGGGGTGGAGTCTAGCCTGTCGATCAGGTCACAAGGTCACACCCACCAGGAGGATTCTGGGAACATCCTTTCTTTCTCCCTGGAAGAGTGCCACACTCTCTCGGCTTCACTTCCTTGTTGATAAGCCACATGGAGCCATGCTGATGGCAGCCAGCGTTCTTGAGGTGTGTCCACCACCATTGGATCCACAGGACTTTCCACCGGCCTGTGATCTTCCTGCATTTGGCATCATTGCAATGTGCTGCATGAGTCTAAAGAGGAATTTATGGACTAGTATTGGACATGTGGGCTAATATCAGACTTATGGACTTGATCTGGACTGGGCTAGGATATTTTTTCAATATACTCTTTGATGTAAAGCTCTCTCTTACACACACGAGTGTCTCTAGATTTGTTTCTCTGGTCAACCTGGTCTACCGCACGACTAAAGCTCCTAATGGCCACGATGAATTGAAAGGAGCAGTCATGAACTACAGTGATATTTCACTATCAAATTCAATTTGTTCCAAAGTCATGTTTGAACACTGAAAACTTCAAGAACGGAACACATTTTTAACATAAGAAATAATGACAAATCAAATAATTGGTTTGGAGGCCCCCAAATTACACTTAAAAATTAAAATTTCCAGGACTTTAACACAAAGTTAATAGCCCTAGGTTAGAAAACCCCCCCAAAAGACCTAAACACAATACATACAGCACATTAAATATCAAAACACACAACAGTAAATAAAATTGGTATTTTTTGCAAACAAGGGACACACAATAAGGAGCACAACAAGTGTTTTAACGCACTGTCACCAGCACTGTGTGCTGTCTGAGCGAGAGTGGCATGCAGGAGCCCTGGCGGCCCCAGCAGGACGCGACTCATGACTCACTCACAGCCCATCCAGGATTTTAAGTCAGATTTTAAGTCAGACTATCGAACAATGTTACAGACACCGAGCAGATTTTTTTCCACCTTTGTAGTTGGAGTAGTGGAAAGTTGGAGCTTGGAGCTGTTTGCCTACCGAGTCATCACTGGATAATGTAGTACTGGATTACACCCCAAATGTAAGATAACCATCCGTGGGTTCATACTGGAATTCTTAATAAACGGGGGGAAAAGTGATGTCTCCCGTATAGAAGAATTCCAAATAATTGATGTAAGTAACTCCCCGCCTCTCGGAGATGGGGCTTAGCTCCTCATCCCGTGTGTGGGCTGCACGTGGCCAGTCTCTTATTGGGCAATTCTACCTGCGTAGGCTCAAATGCTACTTGCTGAGATTTTAGAAAACAACCCTGCTCACATTACCCAGCTGCTTACAACCTTTAGCTTCTTGTTATTCACAGGCTTTCTCAATCGCGGGCTCCACCAAACGCCTCCCAGTGTTTGGGGCAGGCGTCAGTTTGTCTTTCAAGCCTCTGTGAAATGATCAGTAACTATGAAAAGATGTTCACTAAGAGTGAGAGATATGCAAACTAAGCTACGATGGAATGTCTTCACCTATCAGATGGGCAAGGACAAAGAAAAACCTTATAATTATAAGCGAATTGTCTTGATTTTTTTTTTTTTTTTTTT